AATACAGGTCCCTCCGTTTTGGCAGCAGTGTCTGCTCAGTTTTTTACCTGCAAGACAATATTACAGATGTTAACAAGCATCTCAGGGGCTCTGAACCTCACCTTTTCCTTGCTTTTCCACCTCAGGTCTCTCCAGTTGCCAAAGTAGCCAAAGGATATCTGGTTTTATTGTTTTTAGAGACAATAAAATTATATGCCTGTTAGGAGTGTTTGTTCAGCTAAACCCAGTTTGTTTAGTTAAGGATTAGAAACAAACTACCAGGGATTACAGGATGGTGAAGGAGCAACGCCTGGCAATCCTGTAGCAGCATCATGTACTCGGGTGAAATATTTCACTTTGACAGACAGAGGTTTCAATCACACTAAGAAATGAGGCAGTTACTGGAAAGCGATGCTTATTTTTGAATAAAGGATGCTTTGTTATTTAATTTTGAGAGGAGGGGGGAACGCTCCCTTCAGCCTTTCTCAGACTCCTGGGATTGAGCACCAGTATAAAACTTAATATATGTGGGACGAAACCGACTACATTTCCCCCCCTGTTAGAACTGTTGCTTTCATGCGGCTCAAACTTTTTTTTTTAAAGTAACTTTTTTATTATCATGAATTCTAGTTAATTTGAACAAATGAACAGAATGTTACGAGATTTCACATACTTTTGTCTATGCAAGTGATTCTTAGTATCATTCCCTTTTCATTAGCACATTTTGCAAGTGAGAAGTCCTCAGTTCTACCTTAAATTTTTATCACCATTTCCTGAGTGACCACGGAAAACCAACAGGCTGGAAAATTCTAGGACAACAGTTTTATAAAAAGTAATTTTGCGGATTGTTTACATAAATAATGTTACCTACTCTCTGTAATTCCAGTGAAAGGTACCAATGACCTGGAACTCTGTTGCTTTCTGCTTTCATAGCTCTGATTCATGTCATTGAGTGCATTTATAAAAATCCCTTCGTTCTTGGGCTGCTGCTTTTGAGCTGTGGCATTGAGACTTTTCACATCTTCTTCACTTTCTTCTTTACCACGGCCTTGACAAGAAGTGCAAATATGGAAGGGAATTTCTTTTAATAAAGAAATACACAGGCTAAATGTGCAAGGGGAACACGACGGGGCGGTGAGAAACACGAAGCTTCCCTTACCTTTTCCTAAATGAACGGCCTGCCAGACCAGCGTCACAGTGAACAGAACTCTGCAAAAAACCCCCCATGAACTGAAATAAATACGTACCAACAAGACAAACACTAAAACGAAGGTGGGTGCGCGAACTTTTCAAAGACTAAAGGAAAAAGCATCCCTGGCTGGAGAAGGTCCCCCGGCAGCTCGGGGTGAACTTACCTAACGTGATTTTCACAGTACATTTTCCTGCAGCTTGAAATTCCCTCGAGGTCCTCCGGGAAAGCTTCGGCAGGAGGAAGGTGTCCTGAGCCCCCTCCTGCAGGCTGTCCTCACACCATACACGGCAACAGGAGACGGAGAAAGCGGGATGGAGGAAACTTTTCTCTTGCTATCCAGCTCACACCAGGAGTGCCAAGGGCACAGTCCGCAGCTGAGCCCCTCACCGCGGTCCTGGCGGGCAGGGACGGACCGTCCCGGCGAGCTGGGACTCCCTAGCCAGCCCCTGGAGGGTGGAGCAAAGTGGGGGCATCCACTGCTGGGTGGGGGCAGAGTTAAGTGCCCGTGAGCGCAACGAGCAGCCCAAGGCAGGAAGGACTCAGCTCCAGCTTATTTCTTGACATAAAGGACTTTGAGCCGTCTCATACTGCGTGGGGAAAAAAACCCAACAAAACAAAACCCCCAACCAAAACAGAAAAACCACTGTTCTGCAGAACTGCAGTAGGTATATATAATGTATATAGTATAAGAAACTGCAGCAGGTATATATAATGAAGGTTAAAAGGCCCGGCTCTACCTACGTGCCTTGACTTTGCCAGGGTTTTCCACCAGGGGCCTGCTTTATGAGATCGTACCACTTTGCAGCACAGATCCTTAGAGCCTGGTACTACAAAAAGCAAAACGAGGTTCTTGACAGAAGGTTGCTGTCTCACATGAGCTGTTAATAACCTTCTGAGACGTTTTTTGAAACATTTTTTACTGTTAGTAAAATTAGATCCATGAGTGAGTATTCCTAGCCTGAGTATTCCTAGTCTGAGTTCATGCAGTATCAGCAGATACCTACATGTGATTTATCATGTGCACTGCAATGGGCTAAGACCACTCACACGACTTTACTATGACTCAGTGGCATCAGCAAAAGGACCTGCCTCTGGGCAGTGCTAAAAGAGCAGCTCTGGGCAGCCTTTTCTCAGATGGCCTGTACCCCAAAGTGCATGTGGCCTGTACTTAAGTTGTGATAGGGAACTACAGCAATACAGCTTGTTTTGGTTTTTTTTGGTGGGAGGGAAGGACATGTGAAGAAGAGATGCTTTCACTGTGCCAGTGCAAACGAAGCTAGTACAAGTTACATCTTGGCTAGACACATGATCACATCAGACATAGGGATCAGACCTCCACTGAAGAAATGGCTGCACTGACTAAAGACATTACCTTCTCCTGGTTTGTGACTCCCCGTGGCTGTCATTTGTCAGATTTGCCCCATCTGAACTGTGATCGTTTCTCATCCAATTTGGTACAAAGGCTGGCTTAATTTACAAAGAGAGCTGTGCTGATTAAAGTCACCCTCTTGGCACTGAAGCAGATGGAGGGTGTTTTGAGGACATATTCTCTTACACCACTGCATGCAACATGGGCAACTAGTAAGAGAAGATGGAAACCATGGTACAATTAGAAACCTATGACCTAACTGCTATCATGGAAACATGGTGGGACACACAACTGGAGCACTGCAATCCAGGGCTGTAAGCTTTCCAGAAGAGAGAGGCTGGGAAGAAGGGGTGGGGGAATGCTCTGTGTAAAGGAACAGATGGATTGTGAAGAGCTGCCTCTGAGAAACAGCCACGAGAAGGTTGAGAGCCTGTGGGTAAAAATCAAGGACAGGACCAACAAAAGACACCGTGTGGCTGGGGTCTGCTGCAGGATGTCTAATCAGGGGAAGCTGCTGAAGAGGCCTCTTGCTTCAGCTCCAGGATTATTGTGCTTGCAAGCTCCCATCCTGATGGAATGACACGGATGTCTCCTGGGAAAGCAACATAGCCAGCTGGCAGGCAATCCAGGAGCTCCCTGGACTGCATCTGGGACAACTCCCCGGTCCAGGCACTGGGCAAACCAACCAGAAGTGTTACTGGATCTGGTGTTCATTTTAATGAGCTCATTAGAAGGGTTAAGGTTGGAGCAGCCAACCTTGTGGTGACTGGACCCTGACTGAGTTCATGATCTCAAGGAACAGAGGCCTGGCAAAGAGCAAAAGTCAGGACCTTGGACTTTGAAAGGATGAATTCCAGCTGTTAGAAGAATCAGTGGATGAGATCCCCTGGGGAAACTGGGAACAGAGGAACTGACCAGACCTGGCATCTGCTTAAGGCATAGTTTTCTTAGCATAGGAAATCAAGCAAGACAGCCTGGAAACCAGCATGGCTAAGCAAAGATTTGCTCCTGAAACTGAGGAGTGAGAAGGAAATGCACGACTGGTAGAAGCAGGGACAGGTGACCTGGGCAGAGGACAGGTTGTGTGGGGTGGGAGTCAGAAAAGCTAAGGACCTTTGAAAATGAAGAATAACAAATAGGGATTCCATAAGTACACAGGTCAAAAAGGAAAGGCCAATGAGAGTATACCCCCTCTCTCTGATAAATGAGAGAGGAGAACTGGTGACAATGGATATAGAGAGGGCTGAGGTACTCAATAAACTCTGCAGGGGTACATCAGACTTGGTGGATAAGACATTGCCAGTGCTGGTAGAACTATTGACTCCAACTGATCTAAGCTCAACTTTTTTCTTGTAGGTACAGACTGACTCTTTAACTTCATGGCATCTTGTTTCATGGTGTGTTTTATGTTTGTTACTAATTTAAACTAATTTAGGTGAAGCTGTTCTTGTCCTAGACTTGTATCAAAGTACCATGTCTTTCAGGACTGTCTGTGATGTAAATTTGTGGGCAATTCAGCTAAATCAGCACTAGAAGAACTTTTATGCACACGCTTGGGGGTAAGATATTTAATAGAAAAGTTGTTACCATAAAAATCACATGTTAATTCAGGAGGGGATTTTGGTTTTCCTATCTTAAACAGCAAAAATTTTGAAGAGATAGATTACTCTCCCCATTATGCTGAGTGCCTCCACCAGCTGTGATTGACAAGGACTTCTAAACTAAGGTTTAAGTTAAGGTTTAGGTGCTTGCTTGAAACCTGTCACATATTTTAAAGTACTTTTGTAACAACAGACGCTGTTCTGAATTAGGACTGAAAAACGTTTCATACAAATAAAAGAGATGTCATTTTTGCAGTATTGACTAAACATATATGTGTTATCAACACGTGAAAAGTGCTTACTTTTGGAAAATGTTTACAACACAAATAACTGTTTTTTTCATTTGAGTTCTCTAACTATATAATGAGGGCAGTATTTAGAGTTTAAAAAGAACAGCTGTAGTTACAATTGTTCACTTTTTGTTAGTATATAGGAAACAAAATATTAATTTTTAGTCTGGTCTAACTGGTAGTATCACTTTAAGCTACAATATTCAAATGTTGAAATGTTGGCATTTAGTACTTAGCATGTTGCTTTTCCCCTTTCCATAAACCGAAGGCAGAAAACAAATTAAACAGACATAAGTAAACACAAAAACATCACACAATGTTTTGGGGTTTTTATACAAAGTGCAGTGTCACTGTAGTTCTCATGGAGATCTTTTCTGGGGTATCAAATTCCCATCCCTATACTGGAGGTAATTTTCAAAATGGGGATGCTGGCAAAGAAATACCGGATCAATTTTCACACTCTGTGCCATTTGTTTAGGATCAGAAGCCACCTAACAACCTGGGGAACTGTAAAGCAGTTGGTAAACATTTCTCGCTTTTTATACCTTGTTTCTTCCTTCTCCCTGTAGCCTCACCATCCAGGCACGGCATAGGAATGGGAGCAGAGTAAATTGCTCGGATGCTGCTGCTGCCTGACTGCATATCGAGGTGAGATTGGTGTGATACTGCGGAAAAGTGCTGTTGTTTGTTGTTGACAGAATCTGCCAGAGAGTGATTGCTTCTGCCCAGGGATCTGTGAGGAGCTGCAGGAAGGGTAGAAGCACTCCCTTTATCAGCTTCGGGTAAGATAAGAGTGGAGCCAACAGAAGTGCTGGTCCTGAGCATTTCAATCAAGCCCTGTGTACACAGGAGATGGCTAAACATTAATTAGGGGTCTTCAGCTGTGAGTTCTGACAGCAGATCAAGTAGCCTCTACGGGTAAGTGTGGTAGGAAAATGTGGTGCTATTTTATTAGTTCTCATTTTTTATTATTTATTTTTTAATTATTTGTATTTAATTTTTATTATTGTTATTATTTTTATTATTGTTATTATTATTGTTATTATTTTTTATTTTTTTTATTAGTTCTCATAATTATTCTCATGCTCACCCAGGGAACTGTGGGTCTGTGGCACTCTCCTGACACTCAAATGAACCACTACACTGAGACATGAAGTGTGGATAATGCTTTTTTTTTTTGTTTTGGTATATTACTTTTTCATACCAACTGTATTCCTGTGTAAATATTCCGTATTTCTTAAAGCTTCAGGATCAACAGATGCCTAAGGACTGGAACATTGGAAAAATCAGAAGCAAGGATGAAGAAAACGTGAATGTCTTTAGCTTTCTGAGAACTGTTCTGAAAGACCCTTCTGGATTAGCTCAACTATAGTCAGTGCAGCCAAGATATCTGCTGACTAGAAAGCTTTAGGTTCCAAAATTCCATCTTAGGGTTAGGACTAGATCTCTAACCACACTGAGCAGTGTTAAATCAGTTATGCAGAACATTATGGAAAATAATGAAAAGCAATGAACACCTCCCCCCCACCGGGGCATTTATTGAAATATTGGAAATATAGAATTTTATGAACAAAACCTCTCAGTCAGGGTGACACAGAGTTTTCTGAGGAAAGGGCAGACCCTAGGCAATCTAGACTGGGACCTCTCAGAATATGCTTTTAACTCATAAAATGTTAAGAATACTTGATGGAAAGACCTAATACTAGCCAGCCTGAGATTTTTATTTGTTTTTGTGGTCTACAGCTTGCTATAAGGATTTGTGACAGCTACTCTTGCTTTCTGAAGACTGTGCAGAACTTCAGCACAGTTGGGTGGAATGATTTTTATGGTGTCACAGAACTATTCTCAACAGACACTGGTTAATCCAGTGTCTATAGGAATTTCCTATAGGAATTTCCTATAGGATCATGTGGAGGTTGCTGTTGTTGCCTCTCCATTTCCACATATGAATGGACAGGATAAATAACCCAAACAGCTTTTCTTCACTCCAGGTTAAGGGTGGCTTACATTGGTTTATTTGGAATCAGCCACTACCTGACTTGAGGAAGTGACATAGAGGAAAATGAGAGAATCCATACAGTGACTGGCACCATTATAACTAATGTCACAGGTCCAGGATCAGCTTAAACAGGATAAATGGCTGCTGCTGCTAAAAGGGTGAGTCTCAGGCTGTCTTACACCATGGGTTATCTGTTTGTATTGTCTCCCTCACACTGTCATTGCTGTTTGTGCATCCATGAATGAGATGAGGCAGGGAGTTTATCTGAATGAAAAACTCAGCTTGGAAAAGGGAAAAAAAATAAATTATTTTTCAGCTGAATTAGTTCACTGATGTGTATTTGCCTCGTGAGCTCCAGGGCTGGCAGAAACAGAAGGCAGGGATAAGCAGCCATGGCTGTGTGACAAGCAGCCCCTTTCTGTGGCAGAGCTAATTTATGCCAGATTAAATTGACTGTGGAATCTGTAAATAGATTTCAGTTCCTATATTTATATTGTTCTTCCCTTCCCCAGGAAATAAACCACAGGTAATATATCCACATGATAATGATGCCACCTTCAATGCTTTCATCCTATTAACATTATATACAGTGGAGTAGAGCAGTCATCCCACATCTCTCTGACAACATATGGATGAAGTTTAGTACAAATGAGATGGGAGCAATATTACCAAACGGAAGGAAACAGCTACAGCACTCCCTTGGAAAGGAAACCTTACACAGATGTCATACAAAGATGTAATGCTCTGTTACGGCCTGACACAAAGTTGTAGAATAAACCCAGGCTCGTAACAGAGCATTCTGAAGGTTTTTCTTTCTCTGAGTCCAATGGTTAGTCATTAAAGAAGATTAAAAAAATCAATATGATGATGTAAATGTTTTGTAATGAAAATGGAAGTAGTACATGTGTACAGAAAAAAAGAAAATTAAAAAAAAATCTGCCAATGTACATGGGAAGTGATAAAATCCCAATTATCTTCCTCTGAGGGAAAGGTCTTTTGGCAAATGAATAAATGCTAACACCAAAAGACTTCAAGATTGAAACTTTTATGCTTCTTTTTTGAATATCTATTTTTGGTATTTTATTGAAGAAAAAGAAAGTACTGAGGGAAATTTTGCACAATTATTTATTTTGAAGTTTGAAAAAATGAAGCTTCTGACTACCATGGGCTCTGCCGAGAGCCAGGAATTATTTTTGTGATGTTAGTGGTGCTGTGCTCTACATTTTTGGCTGAATGCACTTCTCTTCATAATGCTATCAGGTGTGTGTTTTTATCTTGTCCACCATCCAGAAAGTTGTCTCAACACTTCAGGTTTAGGAATGAGCTCTTTTTTGGCTGCAGTCTTGTAGTGTCTTATTACGGGGCCCATTTGTGGGCCCAGCATTAGTGCAGTCATGCACTCAAACTGTATTTCTCTTGCAAAATTACCTTAGAGGCATCTACCTAGAAATCTATCTTTACCATACACAAAACACAATTGCTGGAGTTTAAATGGCTTGTTTTGACCTGGCTCAGCAGTCTTGTCTGGTGCTGTCAGCTGAAACCAGAGTGAAATTTTTACCCAGCCAAGTGATTCACTCTGGCAGTAAAGGCAGAAGCAATTCAAACGTTGAATAGCTGTCAGGTGTTTGTTTCCCCACTGTTTTCATTTGGAAGCACTGCAGTGTGGCTCAGCCCTTTTTTAACAGTGCTGCAGCAGGATATGACCCCAGAAAGTTTTCCGGGTTTATACAACAAGATACAAATTAGGAATTTCATGACAGCCTGGAAGGATTCCCAGAAGAAGAAGTGGGGATCCCACAGCCTAATTCCAGGGATGGGGATACGTATCCCAGGGGGCTGTGAATGGAAAACCCTGCATAGATCCTGCGTTTGACCTTCAAGCTGTCCAAGGACGCTGGCATTGCTTTAAGATGAAGTTACATATTAAAACTGAGCCAGTGTTAGAAGGTTAATTCCCAAGTCAAGCATATGCTGAGGTTTGCATTGGCTTTAGTGGCATTTGACCTCTTATGGAGATGAATCCATTTGTTAACCTGGAATAAACCTACATGTCTTTTTTCTGATCTAGTTTTCTGGCTTATGAATTGAAGCACCCGAGCAAGAGGTCCAGTGGGGGTGAGGGGGTGAGGGAATGTGTGGCAAAGAGCAAGACACTGAAGGCAGGGCACCTTTCCATGTGTTGTGAGCTGTCAGATTATCCTAAAGGATCCTTGGTGTCTTGCTTCATCCTTCTTTTCCCCCCTACTTGTCTGCATAAGCAGCATGATGCACACACATAGAAAAGCCACCTTGCACAACTGGGTATCACTGATGAGATATGTGTGAGAAGTATGTACACCAGACACAGGACATATGTTTGGGAAAAGCTGCAAAGCCAAATTTCAGTATCTTCATCCAAGCATTGCCATACTGAAATGCAATTGTGAAAAGTTTCTAGACTGTGAGTGTTAGGGACAGTCTGTGAACCAACTTCTGAGAGTACAAAAAAATCCCACGATAAGGAACAAACTAGAAATCCCATAAGCAAAGTCTGGAATACAAAGGGTTATTTTAAGGTCACTCATGGAATTCCAGAAGAAAATGAGCCATCTCTATTTCAGCAATGGTTGACTCCAGTGTGCTGGAGGGCTCTGTGCTGGCAGCAGAATTAATGTGGGGGAAAGCAAAAGTGGGATCTGTTCAGACTTTAAGTCATGCTCTTAAAGACAGAGCACATCTCACCATACATTTAACTTGAGGATTAGCCTTCTGGCATCACTTTTCCCTCTTGGTTTGGGCAGAGTGGTTACAAATTTAAAGAAAAGTGACTGGTGCAGGTCCGTAGTCTGTTACTGAATGCAAACAGTAAAGTTTTCTCTTTTTTTTTTCAAACATGGCTGTATGGTGAGAGGGAACAGCTATGAGTGACATAATTAGTGATGGCAAACTCTGCTTGATGGCATTTGTTGAGAGTGGATAGATGCATTGTGCAAACCCAATTTTCTGGCTACTCTTCAAGTTAAGAATGTAATACTGGCGTGGTGGTGCCATTGGTTGTGGCATGACCATGGCTGGTATAATTCTCTGATGGCAAGAGGGCAGAAATTGTCTGGGTCACCTAACAAGGCATACTGTGAGCAGTTATACTAATGATGCCATTGCTATGACATCAAATGTTCTGAGGAGGTATTTCTGGAACCCAGGAATGGTAAATTGAGAGAAGATTTTTCTGGAACACAGTTTTTCTTGGTAATAAGGATTATGAAGGGCACAAGGCAGGATGCCAGCTGCATTTTCACATTGTGATTTACACATGTATATTAGCGCAAATGTAACCTTTCTTGTCTTTTTTTTTTTTTTTTCAGAGAAGCTGATTTTTGTGGCTTCCTGCCTTACTTCTCCTCTCACAGACTTGTTTCCTCAGTTGTGCTGCCTGAATCATTCAGATCATCATTCATAGAAGAGAGAAAAGATTAAAGTTTCGAACTACTTAATTTAAATTTGGTCCTTTTACAGATCAAACATAGAGGGCAGCATTGCAAAAAGGTTGAATTAATATGACCATATTTAAATGAAACTTTCATCCATGTGCTTAGCTAGTCTGAATATGGCATACCTGAATGACTGAAGAAGAACACAGAACTTCTGTAAATGTGGTGATTTTTCAGTAGTGTTTGCTTGTAAACATCTTTAGGGGCAAAAAAAAAAAAAAGAGGATATTGAGCCAGTTTAATAGATTATCATGACATCCTGAGTCTCCAAGAGACATAGAGGCCTGAAATGAGAACACAGTGTGTGTGCATTTTGTTAATGTAGTTTTGCGTGGTTAAAGATGAAAAAGAAATAGCTGGGGGAATTCTAGTGAGCAGTAAACTTTATCCTAGGCAATGACAGTGAGAAAATATCTGTGAATTTGGGATGACTTTACAGCTTGAGATGAGTATGTGTTTAACATTTATGGTGAAACTTGGCCTGGCTTAATTCATTTCTACTGGTGCGTAATGGTTGCCCTGGGAACACTTATAAACTTCCTCTTTAAGTGAAAATCTACCATCTTCTCTGTTAAATCTTCCTGTTTTTACAGGAGCACAGATTTCCAGGTGCCTGGGATAGTTTATCATTTGGAAAACTGCCCTTCGTTCCTGCACATAAAAATTGACAAGACAAAAATGCTTTTCTTCTCTGAGTAAACTGTGCTGATGTTTCTCCAGTGATACAAAATTTCTTCCTCAGTCCCTCCTCTGGTTATGTGTGTATTTGTAATAGATTAAATCTGTTCAGCACAACAGATTCTATTCTACTCACAAGAGTAAAGCCACAGACATCTGTGGGAGAGAAACACAATCCCTGATCTAGGTGAAGGAACTAAATCATGATGATACACCCTCTGATACATGGAAGGGTTGTATTAGCTGGGGACAGTGCTTGAGCAGCTGGGGCTGATCCCACTGAAGCACCCCTGCCCACCAATCCCACAGTGATAAATCTGTATTACATGCCTGTGTCTGATGTGCTCATATCAAAATTATGGTTGCCATCTACAAACCACGGCAAAACATCTGGCAAGAGAATTTGCAGCTTAGGTGCAGAGCTACAGTAAGGAATATTTACTCCAGCATTCCTCTCTGGGATGTATTTTAGCACCCACATAATGATCTGATCCAATGCCCACATATACATGCCTGACCTTGAGTGATTATACAATGATAATTTTATGTGTCTTGTCTTTGCTGCCATTTTATTCTGAAGGAACTGCCTCCAGTTAAGCTTTTGTTTTCCCTAAAAGTACCACAACTAAGTTAACACTGCTGTGTTAACTCTTTAGGCACTGGCTGGAGTTCTGCAGAGCTGAGTTTGAATCACAAGGATGGGCCAGTTCTTTAGCCCTGTGTTGGAATCAGAGTTAGTGTGCCTAGAGTAACTCCATGCTTGATAGTTTGACAAGGGAGAAGTGGGGAAGTGAACAGCTACTTGTCAAAGCAGTGAACTACCAACTGCCTCTACTACTTGACAAGCCTGGTCTTCAGCGTGGTTGTTTTTCTTCCTCTTGGGCTGAATCTCTCTATTCTCTCTCTCTCCAGTCTTGCCCCAACCAACCAACCAAAAACCCAATCAAAAAACCGCCCACCAACCCCAAACCTCAAACAGCAGTCTTTACATCTCTCTGAAGGAAAGTGATCTGTAAAATTAAGGCACACAGATGCTTTTTGTTGACACCTAACTATAAGTCCCACTTCAGTAACAAGATATAATCTGCAACTGCTTTGAAGATGTTGAAATTTAAGAACAGTAAGAACTTTGAGCTAAAGACAGAACTAAATTGTTAAGGAAGCTTTTGATTCCAGCAGGAGCAACTACAAACTAAAATGTTTCCTGCCTTACCAAGAAGTTTGTGACATTGGGGATGAATGGGATGTTCCTTCATTGCAGCTTTAACACACTTCCTCACCTGAGACTCACTTGTTTCCTGTCCAAGGGGATGCTCAGAACCATTCTGGGAGATCTGAGAGAAACAAGGAAATAGTGCCAGAAGCAATGACAGAAAAAAAAGGAGTGGATGACCACACTGGACATTTTGGAAGTAGCTCACAGGAGTCTTCAAATACCTGCTCACCTTGAACTCATTCTTTCAATTTACTGGGAAAGAAGATTAATGTAAGCCTTTCAATGCTACCATTTTAATGCTGTGTACCCCTCATCCCAGTTATCCTCTCCTGGGTGTTCCCACATTTCTCAGGGCAGGCAGATGTTGGTGTGTGCCTGTGCTTGCTGGAGCTCAGGGTGAGCAGGAGTTCTCAGTGCACAGAATCACCCTGTGCCTTGTCTCTCTAGCTCTTCATTAGCAGCTGACAGTTCTGCAGCATTAGGAGGTTTGGGGAGGCATCTCTAACCCTCTGCAGATCAAAGGACCCAGAGCAATATCTCATTTTATATGAAACAGCTCTTTCAATGATCCGTGCCACATCTGTTCCCTTACATCCACTCTGTCACATTCCAGCTAACAGGAGACTTTTACATATATTTACATTAACGAGACAGAACGCCAAGCATACTCAGAAAATATTTTGAGGGATTTAGTATTACAGCGTTCCCCTGAAGGGTTTTTTCCTTCTGCTTTACTGACTTTGCATATCTCCCTTCTCCTCCAGCTGTGAAAAGACTCCCTGTGCATAGATTGCCATCTCAGAAAGTCTCAGTCTAGCAACTCTTAGTACTGGCTTGTAATATTAGACAATAAGAGTCATCTGATGAAGAAATTGCACTTTAAAAAAAAAAGAAAAAAAGGCAAATCACATGGTCTATGTACCACTTCAGTGATGAGTAGAAAGAGAATGGAAAATAGTATATGTTCCAAGGTGACAAAACATGTAATCTGTAGGTAGTACTATTACATGCACTGGATATAGTTCATTTGTCTGTTTTACGTGAGGGACTGGAAGTGAGCTTCAAGTTGTCTGTAAAGGAGTGATCAGCCTGAGCATGAAAAGACTCCACCCTAGAGATCAGTAAAACTTTGAGCTACATCCTCCTGGCTTCTACTCCAGCTTAACTTTCTGTCTTGTACAGAGACACCTGCCTGTGAATTTTTTACCAAAAAAAAAAAAAACAGGAGGTAGATGCATAAAAGATTTGGCAACAGAGCTTATTTTTCAGTTAGATCACTTTCTCCCATCTGATTTACAGCATAGCTTCCCAAATACTTGAGTAGCCTGAGAGGAAGGTGAAGCATGCTGTGGAGATTAAAGGAAGGAGAAGAGGAAATGGGAATATTTTTAGTTTTCCTGAAAGGAAAATCAAACTTCTAGTAGGGAGTAGAGGACAGGAAAATCTCAACCATCTTGAAAAATGGTCTGTTGTCAAAAAATAAAAAAAAGGAGTGGCTTTATTTTTTAAAAACCAGAGTCCTACTGTCAGTGTAGCTTAGTCTGTGTTTTCATTCTCTCAGAAATTATGTCCATTCCCAAGCGTCCATTTAGCAAAAAAAAAGACTCATTTTTGGATACAAAGGGAGAAAAATAAAGTGCTCTGTGTTTATGCCAGGTTGAATTTCTGGGTTTGCATAGAGATAGCTTCAGGCAACCATTCCCCAAGTCTGGCAATAAGCATGCAATCCTGTAACTGTGGCTTTTTGGAAATGTGACAAATTGGAGAGGGCCTAATTTCCAAATGAGATGCTGTGGAAATGTGTTGTTTTGACAGAGTATTGTTCAGGAACAGGGACTCACCTTCAAAAAAGGAAAATAACTTGACAGTTGTAACTCTCAGCTGGGATCTGTGAGACCTAGGTTTGAATTCCTACTTTTTTGGATCTAGCTTAAGGAATGGACTGGGACTTTCACAAAAATCTAATTTTAGTGACCTAACCAAAAGACTATTAGTTATTTCAAAACCTGTCTCTGTTCATCTGTTTCTGCCTTCCTCTATTTTTTGTTTTTCAGATTCTTTTTCCTTTTTTTTAGACAATAATAATAATAAAAGAAAGAAGGTAAAGCCTTGGCTTTGTTCTGATGCAAAGCAGGAGTGTGTTTTACATCTCAACATTTTCAGGACAGGGAATCAATTTTCTGCACAGCTCTGTCTGGAATGTAATTATGGCAATTGTAATATCTTTAACTTTAATGCCTACTATTGATCCTGTTATTGACCAATGACTGCTTTTTATTGTGTAAATGCTGACAAAGAGACTGGTAAAAAATAACAGTTACCAGGTGGCATAAATTAATTTTTTAAATTTTCTGAATGGGGAAGGAAAGAAGGTTTTCAATGTTTTTGCAGCAAAAATCCAAACGTCTCCCATTCTCTTCCCAGTCCCCACTGTAACCTTACCCTTTCACTTGATTGCAAGTATTTTCTAACTCTCTACTCTCATGTTCACACTGGTGGCTAAGAAATCTGCCATGGCCTAAAAAGTGGGAACGGGGGACAATGTAAAGAAAAAAAAGTTCCATGTGCATTTTGGGATCAGAATGTAGGGGGGAAAAAAGCCTGTAAAGGACACTGTACTGACTGCAATGATTTCCATAATCAGTTTGGGTTTGTTTTTCAGATATTACAACAGAGTTAACTGTTTTACTGGAAGGCTGCAGAAATCAGGGGTGCAAAGGAGGTAGGATACTGTCTTTCAGGCTGTGTGTTTACACCTGACAGAAGTTCTTGGCTGCATCTGGGCCATTTCTGAGCTTCTTCATTTCTGATGTCGGAGCAGGTCTGCCATCCAGGGCACACGTATCCCAGCCCTGGGATTCCCTCTGTTTCAGCCTGCTCTGTGCACAATTAGATGGGTTATGGGCAGACTCTCTTTGTCAAAGCAACCTGGCAGGCTGGTTCTCCTGCACCATCAATGTGAGAAAGAAATTCTTTTTAGTCAAAGCAGAGCTTTTTAGCTGGGTTAGTCAAAGCTCATTCTTTCCACAGAAACCAACTGCAACTAAACTGTTGTGGGTTTTTATTTCACTCATTGTATTCTAGTAGAACTATCTAATGTCTTTTTAATAACTACCATTGCAACCTGTTAGTATTTGTGGCTGGAAGGGAAGGGCTTTGATGCAAGCAGGGTATTGCAATCACAATGAACCAAAGAGATGAAGGCTAGGTCACATCCAGGGACAAATTTCCAGAAAGGGTCTATATTTTTTTAGTTGCTCTCAGGTTGTTGCTGCTGCCAGTTCTTTCTTCTGGTTCCCACATGCAGGAGTGGGGAGGTGGAGGGAGGGTAAGGTTACAGTGGGGACTGGGAAGAGAATGGGAGACGTTTGGATTTTTGCTGCAAAAACATTGAAAACCTTCTTTCCTTCCCCATTCAGAAAATCTAAAAAATTAATTTATGCCACCTGGTAACTGTTATTTTTTACCAGTCTCTTTGTCAGCTTTAGGGCAGGTAAAGGATGTGCAGTTCTATCATCTAATTGGCTTGAAGAAGGTGGTCAAGGTTGTGCCCTCTTTATGCTGGGACTTCACCTTGGAATTATAATAGGCAGTGTTTTTGGAGAAAGCCAAGAATGATGCTCTGGGTACTGGGGATGCAGCTCCAGTGGGTGTCTGTAGTCAGCACACCTTAGGTTTTTACTTGCTGTACCATGAACATGACAAACTGTAAAAGCAAAAAAAGGCTCTGAGCTTTTGTGGTTCAGAAATGTGGTTTTTTTCTTGAAACCACCATGATAAATATAGGATGAAATAGTAATGAAAACTCACAGAAGCTGTTAGGGAAAAAAAGGGGGTGATGTTTGGTTGGAAGTTTAGAAAAAAAAGGCTTCAAGTAAAGCCTGCAGGCAATGAAAGGAAATCCCATGAGTTCCCTTTTCTGCAGAACCTCTGGATCGGAGTTAACCTCTGTTAACATCATAGTGCTTTCCGAAGGTGGAATTTTAAAACTAACTCCTGTTAATTAGTTTGTTTATTTTGCAGACTTCTGCTTCTTCACTCCCACCATGAAAGGTTTGTCAGTTGTGGTGACTGTTCTTGCATGTATGCTCACTGAGTTTTGCCATTATCGGCAGTAAAATAGTTTTGAAATACAGGTTCAGCTCAATTTTGCATTTAGATATTCGAAAGAGAGTAGAGAAAAAAAAAAGGCTCGAAGTTAGCACTTTTCGTTTAATTTTTTATTCCTTTTGAAAGTGTTGTTTGGACAAAACAAAAGGTGACAAATATCCTTAGGAAAGGCGGAAGAAGAAAATTTAAATATCTTGTTAGAAATTTGAAAAGCTTATATTTGAGTCCAGCCGTGAAACTCTGCTTTCACAGTGTACAGATTACTTGGATGTGCCCAGGGATATTTTCTTTTTCCCATCAGTGAAGTGAAGAGTGCAACAGAAACAAATTGCAAAGCCCTGGGAACTTCTTTGAAACCAGACTGCTGTTTTTTAGGCAACTGTGTTAGTGAAAAGTGAGCGCAAAGTGCAGGACAAAGAGAGATGTGGTTTGTACTTTCTTCTTGTTCCTTCATCTGTGAGACCACTTCTCCCAAGTGACAGTCTGAGCTGAGAGGGACCCCACCATGAACACAAAGACAGGAGGAAAGTAAGAGAGCTCTTGACCCTCGCACATCTTGCAAATGCTTTTCTTAGACCTTGAACCTCCCTCGTCTGTTCTGCCAAATCTTATCTGTAGAACTTGTCATTTATTGTAACAATCTTCACACTCAGTTTAAAAACCTGAATTCACCAGGTTGTCAGGTTCCCCACCCACACAGCTCAACACAGACAGTGCCTTGTAAAGCATTTTACTCCAAGCCTGAAAGGCTTCTCTGAAAGTGGGGACACCAAAAACTTCAGAGTTGATTGATAATATCTTCTTTTCCTAAATGAGTTCAAATTAGATGGATATAAAATGCACATTGCCTTGGGTAACCTCGTATTTATTGTGAGGTACAGACAGGGTCAGATGAAAATTATTACCTTATAGAATTGAAAATGTCTCTTTTTTTTTCATCAGAGGGCAGTGGACTTCATATTCACTGCATAATCAGGACAAGTATCTGTTCAATTACTGTGGAAGAATTACTTGAATGTCTCTTCTGGCCAATATTCCCTCAGCAGCTCATCTGTTGGGGCTACCAAGGTAGCTCCTGCCATGCATGGAGAAACATCCAAGATTTCCTTGGTGCAGTAAAAGACCTGAATATATTTCTGTTAAATGCCTGCATAAATAACAAAATCTGTACTAACAATACAAACAGATCTCGCTGGATCTGGGACCTGCCAGGGCTGCAAAAAGGAGAAGAAGCTGTAGCAACATTATTTAAAGCCACAGGAAAACAAAGTGTCTGCTTTGGACTTTTCTTTGTGGCCAGTCTTAAGGCAATGATTGGGTTCTTTTCATTTCTATAGGAACAGGATGAGACACTGTACAACTGTGAGACAAAAGGACAAATACTTGGCCCTTTTAAATAGTACCGAGCCTGGTACTGAGGGACTTCTGACACTCTACTTAATTTGCTCTTTTATGTGACACTTAGAGTTTAGAGAGCTTTCCCAGCTTAAATCTGCTTTTGTCAGATTCAAAATACTTGATCTGTGGGACGTTTATGCACCATCTCCTTTCATAATGTTTTATTGATAAGAATTATACCAGGATTTTAGACAGTAGGTGAGACACGAATTCTATCCCAAGGCAATTTAAACTCATGCCTTCTAGGTCTGGGGAGAATGTCCTCACCACCTAACTAAAGACTAAACTCAAAGCAGAGGGTGGGTTAATCTTGTAAACCAATATTTTGAAGCAATATTCCTATGTACTAAAAAGTCCCATGGGCTACAGAGAACTGGGGGGCATAAGTCTGTACTTGCTGTGAGGTGACAAATGTGTGTATTTTTATCTCAACTGTCTCCATGTAACTGAGGATGAAATCTGTAAATGGATATACTGGCAGCCCGGATCTCTGTGCTGTGTTGTTCTTAATTCTCTGGATTGTGTTGTTCTTAATCCTGCCTCAGAAAATTGAATTTCTGAATTTTTCATGTATTCATTTGGGTGGACTTAGAGCTTTTTGAGGGTCTCACTTAGTACTTGCTTTTTAAGGATAAGCATCAAACTTCTCGTAGAAGTAAACTCTTGGACTGTCCTTGAAATATGAAAAAACAGCACAGAAACTAGAAATTTATGAAACACTTGTTAATTCTGTGGGTGTAAGTGTTCAATGCTTCAAAAGGTCAAAGACTTAAGACTGTAATCAGCGTAATTTTCATATATTTTAAGACCCAAGTTCTGCTTCCTTTTCTGGATTTTCAGCCTAAGAGCTGAAATTAATGACATCTGTCTGGATTTATTATTTTGGTGTAATAGCTCAGATCTCTGAAAAAGTGATTGGAAGGGTGAAGTAGATAACCAGCTTGTTATTTATAACCTGCTTAAATTTATACGTTCTATAGGAAGGGTTTTTAGTTGCAGTAGAATTCAGCATTTGAGCCTTTGCCATTTTCAGTTCATTGCCTAACAGGGAGAAGGACTGAATTAATTATGATATGAATTATGGTATACAAAATTCAGGAGATGCAAAGGAAAAAAAAGGCAGTTTGAGCTGAAAAATGTTAGTATTTAACTACTAACCATTAAAAAAAAGGTTAAGATACATCACTGTGAAGCTGTCACAGTTCTTGAAAGTCATTTTAAGGACAATGCGACCATCAGGCACCATCAACATGGGTTCACAGTGGGAAAGTCCTGCCTAAATAATTTGATATCCTTCTACAATAAGGTCACTCACCTAATGGGTGAAAGGAAGGGGGTGGATGTAAATTGTCATGATTTTAGTGTTGCTTTTGATAGTGTCCCTCCCAGCATCCTTCTGGACAGGCTGTGCAGCTGTGAGATGATCAGAGTGTGCTGATGAGCAGTGCCCAGTGGTGTTCCTTGGGTTCCTTGGGTGTTCTAAGGCCAGTTCTGTTCTATGTGTTTATCCAGGAGCTGGAGGCAGGAGTTGAGTGCACCAGCAGCAAATGTGCTGATGGTACCAAACTGGAAGGTGCTGGTGAAGGTGCCTTCTCTCAAGGGAATTGAGGTCTCTAGAGCTGTCTGGATAACTTGGAGCGCTGGGCAATTATCAGTGGCACAAAATGTAACATGAACAATGCTGGATTCTGGATGGAACACTGCTGGATTCTGGATGGAACACTGCTGGACACAAGGATAATCTGGGAGAGCAGTGTCTGGGAGCAGCCCTACAGCAGGATCTGGGGTGCTGTGGGCTCAGTGTGGGTCAGCAGTGTGCCTGGGCAGCCAGGAGGGCAAACCCCATC